TAAAACACACACGACATAAAATTTACCATCTTAACCGTCTTTGAAGTATATAGTTCAGTAGTGTTAAGTTATTTACGTTGTTGTGCAACAGATTTCTAGAACTTTCTTATCTTGCAAAAGTGAAACTCTTTGAACAACAACTCCCCATTGAAATGCTACCTTTTCATCATAGACTGATTTCCTGTCTTTGTCACTTTTTGCCTCGACCACTGTAACAGCTTTTTAGCATTACCATAATTCCAATCTGTCATGCACACTGTGCCTGATTCATTTTCCTCATGCAAGTTCTGACCACAACACTCTCTTGTTCAAAACCTTCAGAGGCCCTTCCTGATCCCGCAATTGAAATTAAGCCCCCATTCCACTTTCGTAGGGCCTCTACTTTTTCTTCCTGTCATGTCTCATGGTTTGTAGTTTTAATGATCTGTGTGATTATTTGATGTCTATCTCCTTGCTAAACTTCAAGCTTCAAGAGAGCAAGGGCGATGTGCTCACCGCATATTCCTGGTACTTAGCGTTTTCCTGGCCCACAGTAGGTGGTGGTCAGTCCATGTCTGTGGAATGAGAGCTTCCCCTTGGCTTCTGGAATAAAGTAGAAACAACTGCAAGATCTGATTTCTTTTTTTAAAGACTATTTATTTATTTGAGAGAGAGTGAGAGAGCAGAAACAAGGGAAGCGGCAGTGGGAGAGGGAGATGCAGACTCCCCACTGAGCAGGGAGCCTGACACAGGGCTCGATCCCAGGACCCTGGATTATGATCTGAGCCCAAGGCAGACGCTTAATCGACTGAGCCACCCAGGCACCCCTCTTTTTTATTTTTAAAGATTTTATTTATTGGGGCGCCTGGGTGGCTCAGTGGGTTAAAGCCTCTGCCTTCGGCTCAGGTCATGATCCCAGGGTCCTGGGATCAAGCCCTGCAAGGGGCTCTCTGCTCAGCAGGGAGCCTGCTTCCTCCTCTCTCTCTGCCTGCCTCTCTGCCTACTTATGATCTCTGTCAAATAAATAAATAAAATCTTAAAAAAAAGATTTTATTTATTTATTTGAGAGAGATAGGGAGAGAGAACACGAGTGGGGGTGGGGGGCTGGGGTTGGGGTGGGGCAGGGGGAGAGTGAGAAGCAGACTCCCCGCTAAATGGGGAGCCCCACACGGGGCTCAAACTCAGGATCCTGGGATCATGACCTGAACCAGAGTCAGATGCTTAACCAACTGTGCCACCCAGGCACCACTGCAAGATCTGATTCTAACTTACCTTCTCTCAGTCCTCCGCCCTTCAAGGAAGTCAAACTGCTGAACTCGCTGCCCTTTCTGAAAGAGCCGCAGGCTTTCTAGTGCTTGGTTCTGGTTTATACCGTGCCTTGATTTTATCTTATTTGTACTTCACTTTCTCCCTCTGCCCGAAGGCCATGCCTTCCCCTCAGTCCCTCACAGCATTACTGCCTTATGGAAATCCAATTTATCCTTCAAGACTATGCCTGTCTCCGCCACTGGACTGTGAGTTCCTTGACAGTGGCGACAGGGTCCCCCTAATTTGCCCTTAGCAATTAGCAATTAACAACACAGCTCCTGGATTCCAGGGGGCGCTCGTGGCCACAGAGTTCCATCTGCTCCCAGGCTGCGGGCTCCTTGGGGGTAGGCAGTGTTCCTTATTGGCGAGCCTCTTGGAGCCTCTGGGAACCTTGCTTCCTGGCCTCCCAGGGCAAGACTTAGAGCTGGCCTCAGGAGCCTTCTTGTAACCTACTGAATGTGTCTGGTTGTGTTGGCAGAGGCTTGGACAGGAAGTGGTGGAGCAAGGGCATAACCTTTCCTGACTTTCCCCAGCTGTGCCCTTGACATTCTCTCACTTTTTTTTTTAATGTAGGTTTTATTTATTTATTTGACAGAAAGAGACACAGTGAGAGAGGGAATACAAGCAGGGAGAGCTGGAGAGGAAGAAGCAGGCTCCCCACTGAGCAGGGAGCCCGATGTGGGGCTCTACCCCAGGACCTTGAGATCATGACCTGAGCTGAAGGCAGCCGCTTAACGACTGAGCCACCAAAGCATCCCGACATTCCCTAACTTCTGCCCCCTTTCCAGCAATAAACAATTACTGCCTTGTGCCCCTCCCCCTCCTCACCTGAGCTGAGCCCTGGCTCTCCCTAGAGGATGCTCCCTGCCTCTTCCTCCCTCCAGGCTCTGGAGAGGAGGCTGCGCAGTTGGCCACAGTTCCGGCCGGCCAAGTTCCTGTTCTCCCACCTCCACCATGCCTTGTCTAGGGATGTCCAGACTATTACCTGCCACTACCTGCTTCCTGACAGCACCCCTGTCACCTCCACGATTCTAAGGCAGCCCCTCCCCCTCACAGAAGCATTGGCCCCTGGCTTGGGCTTCTCCTTACCCCAAGAGCTGCTAGCATCCTGGAGGCACAAGAGCTCACAGAGGTCAGGGGTAGCAAGCTGGGGCCCATGTGTAGGATCCATCCTGCTAACTTATTTTGTTTGTCCAGAATTGTGTTTTGTAAAGACCCCAGCAGGGGAAGGACCTCAAACTCTCCAGACTTTTAGGGCTAGGTTCCTTCCACATCCCGCCATTCTGCTTTAGAGTTCATCCCTGAGGCCACCCTGACCCTAGAGCTGTCCAGATTCTGAAATCTGCCTGCCGACCACAGCATCCCTCCTTCCTCTTCACTTCCTGCCTCCCCTTATCCTGTTCTGTTCTCGGCACGCCGACCTCCAAGCCCTCAATCCTGCCCTGTTCTCCCAGGCTTCTGTTCCTCTCTTTGTTTTCCTACCCCCGCCTCATGGGTCATCTGAGAATCCTACATCTTCCTGTTGGAAGCATTAGATGAATCTAACCATCCACCTTCAGTGGGAGCATCCTGAAAATAAAAGTGGGTTCAGGGCACCGGGGCGGCTCAGTTGTTGAGCAGCTGCATTCAGCTCAGGTCATGATCCCAGAGTCCTGGGATTGAGCCCCGTGTTGGGCTCCCTGCTCAGCGGGAAGCCTGCTTCTCCCTCTCCCACGCCCCCTGCTTGTGTTCCCTCTCTTGCTGTCTCTCTCTGTCAAAGAAAATAAATGAAATCTTAAAAAAGAAAGTGGGTTCATTCTTTGCTCTCCTACAAAATTCTTCCCCAGACACAGGGCTGGGGTACTAAAGATACAGACACTCCTCACTTGGTGTCGAAGGCCCCGTGCACTCTGCCCCTTGCAAACTTCCTCCGCATTGTCTCCTGCCAAACTCCTATCACCCCTGAACTTGTAGCCATCGCAGCCCCTTTTGATAACTTGTACCTGCACAACAGTTTTTTCCCCTTGCTCATTCTTTCCCTGGCTGACCTTAGTCTGGTTTTAAAACCTGATTGTTTCTAAGGGTAGATATGTCTTCATGTAAAGGCACAGAGCAAGGCGATCAGGATTGAGGGAGAGAATTGGTCAAAGGGGACTTTGGCCTTATCTGTCAAGTTTCAACTTTCACAGGGCGATTATATCATGTATTTATTACTCGTGAGATAGGAAAATAAATGAATGAAACAGTTCAATACCAGGAAGGTTTCCCCAGACTTCCCAGGCAGATGGAGCTGTTTCCTTTTCTGGGATCAAATAGCACTTTCCCAGTGTTATAGCAAATATTGTGTTTTATGGTAATTTGTTGGTGCCTTTCTCCTTCTAGATGGTGAACATCCCCTCAAATGGAGAAACTTTATGTCATTCATCCTCCCAGTGCCTAGCAGAGTGCCTGGCCCAGAGCAGGTGCTCCGGGAGTGTGGAACCCAAGACACTGCTTCCACCAGTGGGAAGCGCTTTGAACACACTTGCTATGGGACAGGCCTGACACTCGTCCTGAGAAATTGATTCACTTTTACCATATCCAAGGGAGGTCTCTAGGGGTCTGAAACATGGGTAGAGGGGCCCCTAGGCTCTCGGGTTGGGCCAACACGGGGATGGGGCCTGGCACCCCCAAGGCCAGGATCCAATTCAGTGCTACTGCCTTGTCACTTGGCATGCCTTTTTTTTTTTTTTTTAAGATTTTGTTTATTTATTTGAGGGAGAGAGAGAGAGCACAAGCAGGGGGAGTAGCAGGCGGGAGAGGGAGAAGCAGGCTCCCCATCGAGCAAGGAGCCTGATGCAGAACTCAATCCCAGGAGCCCGGGATCATGACCTAAGCTGAAGGCAGAAGCCCCACCAACTGAGCCTTCCAGTCACCCCACTTGGTATGCTTCTGAAGCCACTGCCTAAGAGCAAGGGCTATGTTGCTCAACGTTGAACTTGTCAAGCCCAGCCCTAATCTGTATCTCTAAGAGGAAGAGGCCAGCTTCAAGGAACAGGCTATCCCCATACCGGCTGGGCCAGGAAGCCCAGAGTCAGGAGGACACTCACGCCAGCTATGTGTCCCGGGCTTGGAGGGAAGGGTTGAACAACTGTCCGGGGGACTTAAAGAAGGCACCTAGAATCCCAGTGTAATCATGGGAATCTGCTACTTCTGCAATTTTCCAGAGAAATCTGAACTCCCAAGTCATAGGATGCTTCTTAGGTCCCATCTCTGGCCCGTGGGCAACAGGGCAAAGGAGTGGCCTTAATGGGTCGATTAGACTGGGGCCTAGAGAGTGGGTAGGGTGGCTTTTAGAGTTGTAGAGTGGGTACCATGTGGCCAGGGCAACCCTTTAGGCTTGGATGGGCCGGTGGCAAGGAGGCCGTGGAAGGGTCTGAATGAGTCTTTCATCTGAGACTGCCTCCGACCAGTCCCCAAATTCAACCTTGACTAGGACAGCATTCCTGGGGTCTTAGGGTGGTGAGGACAGCTACTTGAGCCCCTGGAGAGATTAAGGGCAGTGGCGGTGGCAGGCGGAATTTGGTGAGCCGTCCCCTTTGCGCCTCTGCCTTCCTCCCACGCCATCCAGCTCCTTCCCAGCTAGCCATGCATAACCCCACTGTGGGCCTCTGAACAGCTAGAGGTAATGCCAGACCGTGCCGCACACCGTTAGATCTCAAGGAAGAACGCCTCCAGCTGGCCCAACTCTCTGTAAGCAATTTTTATTTTTTATTTACAACAGAATCGGTGGCTTTGTTCCTCCATCTTTAGGGAGAGCGAGCATCATCAGCAGCCAGATGGAAAGTCCGCAGTGAAGTCAAACTCATTCTGCCCCAGCCACAGCTCCGGAAGCTCATTGGCTCGGTCCAGTCCCAGTTCCACCACCAGCGACATCAGCACCTCCTCATCCACGGGGTCCGAGTCGATGATAGCAGGGCTCTGGGCACCGGTAGAAGGAGAGAGTGATCCCGCCCCTCCCGCCTGAGCCCCAAAGCCCCAGTTTTGTAGGGGCCCTGCCTCCCCAGGTTGGCCTGGAGTGGCGGTGGCGGTGGCGGCGGCGGCGGCGGCGGCGGCGGCAGCCATCCCATGATACTGGCTATTAAGTTTCTGCAGCTGCATACTGGCCAGCAGATGTGGGGCGGGGTGCAGGTTGAAGGGTGGGGGTTTAGTGGGAGGGGTGGCAGTAGGAGAGCCTATTGGAGATGGCGATCCCGAGGAACTAGTGGGAGCCCCACTGGCCTTGCTTCCGTTCGAGGCTACCCCAGGGTAGTGCAGGATGGCCACTGCTTTGCGATCTTTTGTGCCCAGGTTAGAGTAGGCCAGCGAGCTCATCTCAGGGTTGGCATCCTACAAGACAGAGAGAGGCACAGCTTGGCACCCCCATTGCCGGTGGCCTGTCACCATTCATTGGGCTCAGGAAAAGCCCCTTCATGCCCTTTCTCTGGGGCTAGTGGTGGGGAGAGAGCAACAAGGGCCCCCTGGCAAGTTAGGCTCCCAGCTCGAGTGTCCTCTTGCTACCACCATCCTGAGCACCGAGCTCAGACCCAAGTGCTTGGTGCTGGGTGCCCATCATCCTAAGTGGGTCCGTAGCTTTCATCTCTCTCCCCCTGACCCTTCCTTCATGTCACCATTCTGAAAAGGGCACCTCATTGGCTCTCTTCTCAGCCTCACAGCAATCTCTTCAAAGGAGCAGCCTCATGCCGCTTCTGCTTCTCTGTTCCCTTCTCTGCCATCTTTCCACACCTCAGTGGGTTCAAGTTGACCACACTGAGGCAGAAGCTATTCTCATTCTCCCCCGAGAAAGCCCTGCTGTCTCCTCTCGGCTAAAGGACACTAGATACTGTGCATGGGAGAGCCTTTCACGGGCCAGACCAGGCTGTCTTTCCGTGCCTCAGTGTCCCCATCTGCAAGATGGCAGAAGTTACCTCCTTCACAGGTGAGGTGCCACCCTTGACATCGAGTGCAGGCCTTGACATAGTTGGCATTTCAGAGCCTTGGCAGAAGTTGGATAAATTGGTGGGAGATGATGCTGTCAGCTGGAGCTTTTGTGCTGTATGTGAGGGAAAAGAAGTTACAAGGACAAAGGCTTTAGTGACCGAGAGAGCACTAGCAAAGCCCAAAGCTGGGCAACTCCACACAGCTACAACACAAGGATGATAATGGGGTTAGGCCCAAGACCAGAAACCACCTGAACAGAGGCAGGAGATCAAGCTAGAACATTTGCCTGAGGCAGGAAAGGGGCTTGATTTAGCCAGGTGCTGCCCCCATCACCAAGAGGGCATGCATGCAACTGTTTCCTAATGCGAGTGACTTCAGAGCCTCAAGTGTGTGCATGAGGTGCACTGTTTCTGATTCTGAGGGCAGAGACGTCCTTGAGCAAGTAGCACACTTTCTCAATGGGCCACTGGCACCCAGGATGGGGACCTGGGGCTCCACTGAGCTTGGGAGAAAGTGGGAAGGACTGAGGGCAAGGAAAACCTGGAAAGCTGGCTGCTTTAGCCGGGGGAAGGAACGAGTCCCCGAAGCGAAGGTCATGGGGCTCCAGAGCCCTGCCTCCAGCACGGTGTGAGAGAAATCCAGCCGATTGGGGCGGTCTTGGGGCATGAAGGCAGCCAGAGAGCAGCTAGGAATGTCTCATCTGCCTCCATGCCTCCCAGACAACCTGGGCAGCACCAGACTTTCCCAGGATATCTGCTCTGAGCCCAGCCACACCCATCTGTGGTGACAGGTGGGAATGATTCTTCTTGGAGGGAAACTGAGGCACAGAGATTCAGTGGCTTTCCCATCAGGTAGCTGTGGTTCTGGGAGCAGGATCTAGCACTCCTATATCCACATGCCTCACCTGACCCCTGGGGCCAAGTCATCATACAGGGAATGATTCAAATGGCTCCTGAAGAAATGATTCCCTAGCTCAAGTGCCAAAGGATAAGGGGATGGGGGGGTAAAAGGGTGCCCCAAACCAGAAAACTAAACATCTCTGAAAAATCTCAAGTTATTTTCCTGGAAGCTTCTTGTTGTTGTTGTTGTTTTTTAAGCCCTCTATATTCTGGCCTTCATGATGAATTAGAGATGTAAAATTTCATTTTTATAAATACCTCTTAGCCTAGAGATTCTTCAGGACCTTAAAAAAAGGATCTCTAATCTGTCCACAAGGTCTGAATTCTCCACACCTCGCTGTTCCTTGTGGTCATTAGAAATCTGTTCAGACACTTCTAGAAAGTGACTGCTCACTACCTCTCTTTCTCATCGCCATTTAAATGGGAGGGAGGCAAGAAAAACAGAGAAGGGAAGAAGGGGGTGGGGAGAAAACACGGGAAAATCATTTTCTGGGTTTGCCACTGCTGCTTGATTGGGAAGCCCTGTTTCTTCTCTGAGGCAACCAGAGAATATTTGAAGCCAGTGATCACAAGACAAGGAGTCTAATCCATGTCATCTTCAAGAGCTCAGCACCGTTGGTATCAAGCAATTTCATGTCCAAACAAAAATGTTTGGCGGGGGGGTGGGGGTGGGGGCTGTCCATCTTTTCCCTTTCCTATCCAGCCTCCCTTTCTTCTGCTACTAGGTACCCGAATGTACAAAAGAAAAAACAACAGCAGGAACAACAATAACAAAAAGAAATGCGGGGGGGGGGGGGGGATAGGAAAAAAAGAGAAAAAAAGTGTATCTGTTCTGTTATCAGTTCCTGGGGAAGACCATTTTACCATGTCTCCCCCTTCAGGCTGGAAGCTCCCCTAGGCGGGACCCTGCTTGCATTCTGATCTGTGGCCTCCCATCCCCGCCACTTCCCCACCACCCGTCCTGACCCCCCGCCTGGGTCTGGGCTCAGTGGGCGCTCAGTAAGTGTTACTGAATCCGTCTGAAGAGGCAATAGCATTTCGATCGGGATCCCTGCCCCTGCTTCCCCGAGTTTCGGTCTCCATTCTGCCACCCAACCCATTCCAAGGCAAAACTTGGCAGCGCGGACACGTCCCAGCCCGCTATCCGAGCTGCGAGCTGACCACCGCGCAACCACTGCGAGAGGCGGCTGGACAAACCCAGAGCAACAAGTGCCTCCGCGCCCGCTGGTGCCTCGCGGGCCCGGCCACCAGTTCCCGGTCCCTACGCCCTCCCTTCTCTACAGATCTTCCCAAGGGCCAGCAGCCCCCTCCCGCCCAGATGGAGGTGGAGAGGGGAGAGGAAGAAGAGAAGGGAGAGGCAGGTAGGGGGCCGCGTCTTTGACCTGTTGGGGGACCAAAAGTTAAAATGGCACCAACCGGATGGCTCCATCTCGATTGCTATTTTCTCACTCAGAAGGAGAAATTTAAAAATCCAAACAGTACTGCGGCTTGGCTTGGACGCGCTCTAACCAGACCAGTCAGTTTCGCCACCTGAAAACTAAAGGCCCGTTGTTTGCGGACGGCTCGGCTGTCCTCCTCGCCGCATCCCAGGTGGATCTGCGGGAGTTGGGGGCGGCTGGGAGCATCCCTGCACGGTGGGCGCCAGCACCCAGGCCATCGGGGCCCCGTCCGCTCCCGCGAGTGCTGTTATCAGGAACCGATCGCAGAAACTGAATGGGCAGGCGGGGAGGGGCGCGGGGTCTCCGCCTCGGCCGCGAGTTTGGGGCTCCGCGGTCTTAACGCGCGCGGGGGCGCACTCAGCGCCGGCGGCGCCCACTCCCGCGCCTCACAACACTTACTGAGCGCCTGCTGAGCTATCCGACGCGGCCGCGGGCTGAGTCTACCCCCTAGCCACGCCGCCCGGAGTCAGTGCTATAAGCCCGGTACGAAAAGAGTGAGAGGCCCGGAGAGGTTCGGTAACTTGCCCAAGGTCACAGCGCTAGAAAGTGGCGGAGCCGGGATTCGCAGCCGGGTCTGTTTGACTCCAAGTCCGGCGCTCCGCGAGGCAGGGACTCACTGCGCGGCCCGGCCCCGCGGCCCTCATTTATAGGGAGAGGGGTGTGTGCGTGGGTGTGCGTGGGTGTGTGGGCGTGAGTGTGGGGGAGAGTAAAGGTCGGCTGGGTAGAAGAGGCAAGTTGCCCAAATTCGCTAACTTCCATCCCGCAATTGGCTGAACTCGGCCCCCAAAGCCCCTCTCGTCTCCAGTCCCCGAAGGAAACCTGAGCTTTGTGCAGCCCCGGAGCCGGAGCGTCCAGATGCGGTCCGGGCGATTAGCAAAGTCGGTGGAAGCCAAGCTGGAGAAAGCGCGGGCGCGGGGAGAAAAGGTGCTGCGGTCTCCCAGGGAGAAGCGGGCGCCTGGCCGGGCTGGCCGGCAGGCGGGCGCGCTGGCGAGCGAACCGGCTCGCTGGCGGGCGGGCGGCGGCCCCTCCGCCCCCAGCAGAACAGCTTTCAAACAGAAAACAAGTCCTCCAGAGCCCCCGGCCCGCCCGGCCGCCGCCCGCTCCCCACACCCGCTCGGCTGGAGTCCCTGGCCCCGCCGACCAGCCCAGCGCCCTGCCCGCCGGCCCGGCTTACCTCTGCGAAGCCGCCCGCCCTGGAGAGAGGGAAGCGCGGAGCCCGGTGAGCCGCGGGCGAAGCGGCGGAGCCCCCAGCCCCGGGCACGCACGCCGCCACCGCCGCCGAGAGCGGGTCGCGCTCAGTGCCACCCGACCCCGGGGCGCCTGGGTAAAGCCCGCACCGCCGCGCCGCCGCCGCACCGCACCGTGCCGCGCCAAGCAGCCCTGGCCCGCGCCCGTGCCCGCCAGCCCGCCCGCCCGCAGCTTCGGCGCCTGACTCCGGGGCGGTGGCGGTGGCTGCCGCCGCGCTCCCTTCCCGGCGCCGGGGACCCGGTTCTCAATTCCCCATTGCCGCCCGGAGAGCCCTGACGCACACGCACGCAGCAGCAGGCTGGACTCGGCTAGGAATCCCAGGAAGGACAGACCCTTTCCCCCCCTTTTTTTTTTCCCTCTCCCCGCAATTTCCACGTCTTTATAACCGGCTTAGGGCATTATTAGCACATGTCCTGGCTCGTGGGCGAGTTGACGGCAAAATCTGAACTGGATACTCACCGAGGGCCAGAGCGGGTGCTGTGTCTTCCGCAGCCCTCTTCCTCCTCGCCGGGAACGACCCCTCGCGGGCGGGCTGCGGGCGGGCAGCCGGGCGGAGCGAGCCTCCTCTCTGCAGCTCAACGGTGCCCCTTCTGCAGCTGTGCCGCTGGGAACATTTTATAGCGGCGGCTGGCGTGTGTGGCCCTTTAAAGGCGCTCAAGCTGGTGCAGTCACCGCGGATCGTGTGAAAGCGAAGGGCCGGCTGGGGAACGGAGTCCGAGCGGCCCCGCGGGTCCGGCCGCGCCGGGGACCGTCCGCGGTTCCCGGGGTGGAGCTGGCGGGCCCAGGCCATGGGCGCTCTGAGCCTTGAGCCCCAGGCAGACGCCTGCTCTTCTAAAGCGGCGGGGGGCGCGTGCCCGGGACCTGGTCTCTCCCCACCGCCCTGCATGGACTTGCCCAATAAATTCCACTTAGCAATTTCGCTGAGGCGAGGGAGAGCTGTTAGTGTCTGTTTTCTGACCTAAATCTTGCCGGGTGGCCAGAACGGGCTTCAGGGGGCTGGGGGTGGTGGTGGTGGTGGAGAGCCAGAGAGGCTCAGGGGATGGCCCGGGGGAGGGGGGCGCACACGGGACGGGGCTAGTGCCAGCGGGGCAAGATTGGAGTTTTCTGCAGAGCTTTCTCGGAGCCTGTTTGCCCCCTTTGGGCCGCACCATCTTGTTGAAGGGCTGAGGCTGGGAGTCCCTTTCCCCTTCAAAGTACCCGGATTCCGGGCAGAGCCTGTCCCGCAGCGGCGGCTTCCCTTGAAGGCCCGAGAAGGGGTTGGGTTCGAGGGATTCACTCTTGTGGTCATCCCAGGCAGGAGGCTGGCGGGTTGCGACGCGGTAATATGCTACTCATTGGGATCCTGGGGCCAGGTGCAGCTCAGGAGGCAGCCCAAAAACCAAGAATCGGCAGCCGGGTTCGAAGAGCTTGCCCTGGAGCCCGAGGGGGAATTCCTTTTGCCTTCCCATGATGTCAGGTTATGTTATTACAATTATATAATCATTCCCATCTAGCAGGAATAACATTTTGCATTTGGAGCATGTATTTCTCAGGTTGGGATACTATCTTACAGATGTTTAAGGGAAAGAGGTCTGCTTCCTCTCCTTCATGTTCGCGTTCCTTGTGGCCAGCAAGCTCCCGTCTCACCTCTTACAGGAAGGCCACCAGGATTGTCGCCCTCTACCAAACTCCCTTTTTTGACCCCTTTCAGCAACTACTCATTTTACACTGTTGATAAAACAAACTCTTAAAAAAAAATTACCGATGTTAAGAAAAAAGAGGGGAGGGAATGTCATGAAGTCATTTTCACTATGTATGTGTTCTGTTTTCTTAATTGGATTTGAAGACCTAAAGGTCTTTTTCTTTTTTCCTTCTTTCATTTTTTTCCTTCCTTCCTTCCTTCCTCTCCTCCCCCAGCCCCTTCTCCCTGAGCGCTCTGCATTTGCTCTTTGAACAAAGTTCTGTTTGTTGACGGACTAACCGGCTTACTGACAAAACGATGAGGAGCAAACGGAGGGAAGGGGACGGATCAAGGCCCTTCCTTAACACCTGGAGTATGCTCAGGGTGCTCTGGTCTCCAGCTAAACCCCTTCCCCAGCCCCAAAAGCTGCCTTGCAGGGCTCCATTCCTTCTCCTCACCTTACCTCAACACAAACCCCAGTAACAGCCACCGCCCCCCCAAAACCATTTCTCAGTTTGCCCAGAGATCGTGGGTCGTGTGCCCAGTTTGCCTACGATAAAAGGCGGGATCTGTCAGAACCCTAAAACCCTACAGAGTTTGCCTGTGAAATACACCCTCAAGCCACCTTGGTGTTTGCCTGAGGTGAGCGACCCTTAGGCTTTCCAATTGTGTGCTGCTAATTTGGCCCTCCGACCTACACTCGCCCTCCGCCCCCTCTCGGTGGCGGGTCTGGAAACAACGGCAGCTGCTCCGCTGCAGGCTCCCGATCCTAGAGGTGTCGGATCCGCCCTCCATCTATTGGATGGTTCCCAGGCCAATTGTTAGAAAGAGGCATATGTTCATCTCGGCTTCTGGAGTGTCTCCGGAGCAGTTGCTCAACAGCCAGCCCCCTCCCCCATCCGGACCATTGAAGGGCAGAAAAAGGAGCGCCCTCCGCCACAATTCTCTGTGCCCACATGCCGGAGAGGGTCTCCCCACTGGTGACTTCCTGTCATCTCCGCTGTCCACCTCCTGGGGAGCGGGAAAGAGAGGTGCTTCAAGCACTCAGTTGTGGAGCACAAAAGCCACCCCTCTCCTTTTGGGGGAGATGGGAGAGGAGGTTAGTTGCAGAGGCAGGGAGAGAGCAAAGGAGACATTTGCATCTATCTGCAAATTTGCCCCGGATCACAGACTTCCCAGTCGGCTGCAGCCCAGCTCAGAGCTCTCCGCTGAACTCTTATCTCCAACTTGGCAACTAGATCGCGATCTCGGGAGCCAAGGAGAGGACAAGGATGGTTACCCAACAAGAACACTCTGTGTTCCAGCACTGGGCCTAGCACGTTCTCATCCATCATCTCATTTAATTCCCACGACCGACCCGTGAGGTAGGGTTTACCAAAGGTGAGAGTGAGTCCCAGAAATATGCCCAAGTTCACACAGCCCAGAGGCTGGGTGTTTGAATCTGGGTCAGGCTGACTGCAGAGTCCTTCCTCCCACCGTTACACCTTGCTGGCCTGGAGGCAAAGGTTGCCTTCTAGACTGGCAGTCAAGAATACATGTTAAGGGGTCAGTCCACTTGGGATTAAATTCCTACACTGCCATTTATTAGCTGTATGATCTCAGGCCAAGTGGCTTCACTTTTTGGGCCTCAGTTTTCCTGTCTGTTAGATGGGGATAATAATAATAGCAACTCTACGGCTTTGTTGCAAGGATCCAGGGAAAAGCTTAGCCTAGCTGGTGCCTGCTGTGTAGTAAGCTGTCAACAAATGTTGTTATTGTGCCTTCTCATTTTTTTTCCTTTTGCCTCCTAGCCCTGTCTCAGCTCATACTCTTCAGTTTCAATAAGACTGACTGATTAACTTAAAAAGCCAGGCTGAGAGGAGATGAAGGGGGTCTATAAACTCAGGAAGGGTTGGGAGATGAAAATGCAGATTTGTTCTCAAAATTCCATCCCATGGAACCAAGGGCTGTCTGAGCTATATGACAGGAGTAAATTAAGGACCAATAAAAGAAGACGACTTTTTACAGGACAGCTGGTAAAAACACATAGAGTGGTCTCCAGAAACAGATACTCAGTATGCGTGTAGAAAATTTAAAAAGCAC